AAAAGTAATCAACTGCCAAATTGGAAAATGCTTAAACATGTTGAAAGATTATCGAAGGATACCTTGGGTGGTAAGCTTCTATTCTAAAACTTTACATATTAATTTCATTATTGTCTATAAAACTACTGTGAAATCTCTTCTTGGAAGATCAATCTAACATTTAACCCCATAGATGTAAATAAATGGTAAGTTAGAGAAGAAAAAAATAAAAAAAAAGGTATATTATACAGACGAAGGTATATTATTTAATTCCTCATGATGAATATGTTCTCATTGCTTCTGACTAATGATATAAAAATTTATCCAACCTTCTATTATGTAGAATATATACCTTAATGTTCTGTTGAAAACATTTTGCATAGTGTTAGGCCTCTATCGCTGCTTATGATCTACCTTTGACAATAGATTTTCCATGTCTCAGATAATTGGATGGTTGCATTGTTTTATTTAGCTTGAACTTTATGAATTCATTTAATGTGTCATTGTTGCTTGGTCTTCTGCTGGTTAAATTTCATTCACTCCATCGTGAAGTTCTTCAAGTAGAAGTTTAGATACAAAGTTCGACTATAGGATGTAAACACTACTGAATGTTTAAGTAACCTTAAAATTTGAGCATTGAGCAACAATGGCTGCAATTACGAACCCCTTACGAGTGGCAAGTCTACATGTGACCTATTTCTTTTTCTCCTATAATAGCTTCATGTTATAAGTTTGAAAAAATAGTCCCAAAAGTTCCTCGTACCATTTTCTTGTATTTTGCTATATATATAATCTAATGCAGGGTTTATTATACTTGCACTCAATTTTCAAGGTACATAGAGATATTAAAGGTAGTAATTTGTTGTTGACAGAGTTAAATATTATTTTACTATCTATGTTTACAAAAAGTTCTTGTTAATACTTGTGCAAGTAGGTGATTAATTTACCTTGTGGTTCTTGAAATCTTAGAAAGCCCTTTAAGTTAGAACCTGCTATATATGCCAGTGCACATGTACTTTTATTATGTCTGTCTTCATTTATATCTCAATTAACATTATTTTTGCTTTGCTATTTCTGTCAAATTTGTAACCAGTATATTCAGGCTTTTTAATTGTACTACTGTGAATGTATTCTACTTACACCTTAATCATTCGAATCAAATATATAACATGATGATAGAGATAAGACAAAGACTTGGGTTCATATTTGTCGCCACCAATTCATGATACTTTTGCAAGTGATATGCTGATGACAAAATGAATTCATGAGGCTATTGAAAATCAAATTTAAATAAATAAATAAATAAATGTAACCACTTCACGAAGGCCTAAGGTTTTGGATCACATGTTCACATAAATTTATTCATTTGCATTTTTGTTGTAATGCATAGAATTTATCAATCCTTATTGATTTATGAAACAATTTATTTGACATCAGATATAATTTTATGGAATTTTCATGTCCGCTAAAATGATAATTGGAAAAATGAAATGAATATTTAAATAGTGGAGACTACAATGTTATGCATATATGATTATTCACATTTCAATTCTTAATTACAGAGATCATGGGAAAGGGCAAAAATGGCATCATCATTTGATGAAGTTGGTAGAACTCCACTTCATTTTGCTCCATTTATGCTTATTTATAAATCAAAAGATATCAATAAAATTATGTTAAAGTTTTTGGTTTTTGTGGTTTCTAATTGGGTGTTGATTTATTGATGTAGTTGTGGCGACAAATAATAATAACATCGTAAAATGCTATAAAGGATTTGGCACGGATGTGATATTGACATTAGAATCATGTTAAATTGGTAAAATAAGTCCTTCAATTTGTTGTGAATCATTGAAACCTGTGTTGGTTAGATATATTGCTAATTTTTTGCTTTTGTAAATTTTCTAGGCACGGAGCATTGTAATGAAGTACATCAAAAGCTTCGGAACAAGTACGATATTGTATTCAGATGGATGAACCTCTTATTAAACCTAAAATAATAGATGGCATGGTAAAGGTTCTTCAGGTAGTATTCATGCCATATGTACTTCTGGCAAATGAATTCGATAATACAACAAATAACAAAAAATGGAAAAGATAATGATAGTAAATGTTGAACTCATATTTTATTATCTTTTCTCTCCAACAAGATAGTAATCAATACTATCTCCAAAATGGGATGTCCAGTTCCTGCAAGGAGCAATGGCGCACTGCCAGTTTCTACTTAGTATGTCATTTAGGCCCACTCCAAACCAGTCTACAACTCGTACCGCTCATGCCTCAAGGCTATATTATAGCATGTAGATACCACTTAGGAGTTCATAGTGGTCAACTGCACATTGATTTATTTTTGTTGAATTCCAAAGGTTGGTGTTTCGTATGTACCTGAGTGTTAAGAAAGTCTCATTGGTGGGTATGAACCAATAATAAAGTCCCCAATGTGAACCAATCCTTGGTCATATAATTATTGTTAGATCACCCTCAGGGTGCCATGAGTATCAAGACTTGAAGTTGTTCATCTATCACTGTTTGAGCTATTTTTATGGATTTCTCATGGTACTTTTGAATTGAAATGAAATTTAAATACTTTTCTTTTCTAAACATTGTCTTCTCATAATCCGTAAGACTGGTTCGAGAATTTGAAAGAAAAGCTCCATAAAGCCAACTGTGGTTATTTATATGGAATCGATATAGTGCTGGAAAGGTGAATCCTCAATTTTTATAGTTGCTTCATTTAGGGATTTAGGTATCTATTAAATAATTGTGAAATCATTTATGTACCATAATCCTGTATTGAAATATCAACATTCTATTTGTAGAGCTATTTTTTTTCTCACTACATTGCACCTTTTGTTGTATAGATGGATTTTTTTTTTCATGTTCTCCTGATTGTGCTTGAATTTCTCAATTTCCACTTTATGTGTTCGAAATTAGAAGGCCTTGTTTGAGTAGCAATAATGAAATTCAAATCTTGTATAAATTATCACATTCGATTGCGAAACTTACTGAGTGTATATATATATATTAACCTTCTTCATTCTTCTTGCTAGCATTATACACTCCTCTGCAAAATGTAAATGCTTTTTACTTTTTATCTTATTTATTTATTTTTCATTGTCATTGAAAGATACCACTACAAAAGTTGTTCCTTCTGAAACTAATCTCAATAAAAGGTCTGTTTCAAAATCCATAACAAAAATTATTATTTTGAGCTGCTTTCAATATTTTATATCCAAAGTTAACATATCTTCTGCTTTTCTTCATATAGTTTACTCTTTATCTTTACTATTTTTTTGTTAGACTTTCTTATGCACCAACTAAATATTTTCTTCGCTTCCCAAAAATTTATTCAATGTAATTCTCCCTCATAAATACTTAATACTCAAGTAAGTCAAAACACTAAAATCACCTTCAAAAAAATTCAAATCATGCATTGCATGGCCAGAAACTAGTGTTAAAAGAATCTCCAAATTCAACTTAAATTGGTTTATCAATTCATGTTTTAGAAAGGAGTCATTATTAATTTTTGTCAACTGTCGAGTCAACTCCTGATTTATCAAAATGCAAGTGTCCATTTTTAAAATATTTTTATAGATTATTTTCATTTTTACATTGACTGAATGGAATTTTTTTATTTTCATAAGTATCATTTAGATTTATTCAATTATAACCAGTATTTTAAAAAGTGTAAATTGTGACGAGACATGAAAGCCAAGCTTCAAACTAAGTGAGCCTAGAGTAAAAAAAATGTTTTATTATTTTAATTTTTTAGAATCAATCTAAAAATTATTTAATAATAAAAGCATAAAAAAGTGTAAAAAAAGCACATCTAGGAGCAAAAAAAAAAAATTAAAATAAAATAAAATAAGGGCGAGGCGCATATTTCGTGCTTAAACGTTGCCTTTAGAACACTTCTTATTCCTAATTTCCTAAATACAAGTGGTATTAGGTGGAAAAAAAATTGAATAATGTTATTTATAGTGAAAACTACCGATAGTCACCCTACGTGACATATATACCACAGTTTGCTATTTGATGATATAAGATGACTACTTGTGGTCTTTACTGTAAATAACATTATTTAAGTTATATAAATAATAAATGTCCAAGTCAAGTTAAGCCGACGAAATTGCATTTCATTTAATTAGGACATAATTTGTATTTATGGAATATAATAGTGGGGGTCCCCAACCTTCCAAGCAAATAGTATTTGAGTCCCCAACCTACCAAAATGAACAATTTAATAGCTGATATAGGGATTGACAAAATGTCATGTCTCGTCCCTCTCGTCCTGCTTGAAAATCCCTACCTCAATGGGTTGGGACCTCCTTGATTCTTTCGAATCTCGTTGTCATTAGAATCTCAATTCAACAACTCTTCCCAATTAAGATATTAATTAGAACAAAAAGGATGGACATAACATAGTATTTGTCTACCAAGTACATGATTAAGACATTTGAGCATGTTTGAGAACGCCAAAAAGCTTTACTGAAATAAGTAAATTTTAAAATAATTTTCTAATTAATTAAACTTAAAATAAGTACACACGCACATGTATATTTCAAGATATTTCTGAAACATGGAATTGGATTTCTTGTAAGAGCAGTGTACAGACAGCTCTTGTTCTCTGGTCTGTTGGGACACATCCCGCGATTTACTTCTCTCATAAAACTCTAGGAGCGGAACGATAGGAACCCTCAACGTTGGGGTTCAACCTTCTTTTCATATATTTCAAGACTCACTCTCAAACTAAATATCTCTTACTTGAAAATTAGAGTCTTGAAAATAAATAAAAAATAATTAAGATTTAAAATAAATTACGTTATCAATTAATTAAAATTTAAAATAAGTAATTTATGTATTTTAAATTTAAGAAATAACAAATAAATTTTACATTAAAGATAGAGTTTTAAAAATATATAAAAGAGTATATTTTAAAATAATTTTTTCCATTAACTAAAAATAATGTTTATACTTAAAAGTTAGAATTTCAAAATAAAAGGTTATTTGAGAATTACTAAGCAAACAATTATTGGGTCTTGTAGATCTGCCAAAAGAGGTATGGGAGATCTATTTGCGTGGCTTATATCATTCTTTCTCCTCATAGCTATTCTTGGTATTCTCCTTTACCAGGTAACTGTTATTTGAGTATTATGCTATGCTATGCTATTTTATCCTGTCGATGTATAATATACTTGCAATTTGTGGTATGCACTTTCAATTTATTATTATTATTATTATTATTTCTGTTTCATGGAGTTAATTGAATTGGATTTGGTGAAATTTTGAGGCTAAATAGAGTAATTACGGGTTACCCGCTTAATCTTTGATAAGAAAAGGGGGGAAATGGAAATTGATAATAGAGTTGATGAAGATCAGATTTTTTTTGATGCTGAAGTTTTGTTTGGATTGATTTGCTAAGGACAAAGCAATTAACGATAAGACTCATATTTGCCTATGCTTAAATAGTTTACATATAGGTAAATAACTAAGTTTTAAAATCAGTAGATTTTTTGGTGGGTTACAGTTAGAAATAAGAAAGTGAAGAGTTCAAAATAAGTTTTTGTCTGTTCAATATGTATAATATACTTTGTGTGAATTCCATTTGTACGGTGCTTTGCTGTTTTCTTTTCATATTTAGCAATTCTCCATATCGGTTAATCAATTTTTTTCTTTTTTTAGTGGGTTAATTAAGGATTTTTACGTTTATTAAATTTTGATATTTTTCATATTTTTAGGAGAATCTAACTCTGAAAATTACTCTTATTGCAGCTTATGTGCTTGGCTGATCTTGAATATGATTATATCAATCCTTATGGTTCAGCATCTCAAATAAATAAGGTTGTTTATCCAGAATACATTACTGAAGGAGTACTGTGCTTCCTCCATCTTATTACTGGGCACTGGGTTATGTTTTTGCTGTGTCTTCCATCCTCATGTTATAATGCGAAATTGTAAGTTTTTTCTCCGGATTGTTGCCCACATAGCGACTAAGATATCCAAAATTTTATCAATAGTAAACTATATAAAGTCGAAAGGATCAAGCTGCCATGGTTGGATGTAACAAGGATCAGAATATTGTTGATTTTGTTAATTTGCCGTTTCAGCGAAGGCCACTTTATATGAAATAATTGCATACTGTAGTTTGATGTGGACGTTATTCACAATTCTCATTTTTATAGTACTTATGTTTAGAGGGATAATACTCTATCAAGCACTATATGAGCTAAGGGCAAAAATAACTGTTCAACCTTCATTTCTTGCTTGGATTAATTGCCATAATGATGAGTGCAGACAGTAATGTACTGGACAATGGTTGCCTATTGCATCTTGCTCTGCATGTGAGGCATCTAACACTGCATCTCTTGACAATCGTGTGCTACGTTTATTTTACTGTCTTCTAAAGCTATCGCCTCCCACTATAATTTTTTAATTTTAGAACGTGATGGACTACCAATATGCATGTCAAGATATTTTTTGGATCTATTCCTTGGTTAGATGGATGCATAGCTTTTTCTTAGTATATGCAAACTAGTTTATCAGGAGGTGTCTGTCTCCAATTTTGCTAAATGTTGCCAACTATTTCTTGGTCTAAACCACTCTAGCCTTTTTTAGCCTTATATGTTACTTGGACAACAAATTAACTTGGTAATGATATTTGTCCCAATCCATATGCCAAATGAGGAGCATGTTCAGTTAAGCATCAAAATTTACTAACAAGCAAATTCACGTGCAAGTAAATAAGTCAAACAAAGAACTTCTTCAAAGTTGGAAATAAGTTACTTATTTTGACACTAAGGTAATAATACTTCAAAAAAATATGGCTTTTTTTTTTTATTTACATATAAGAAAAAATAAAATATTGAAACATGTTTCAATATAAAAAGTTACTTAACAGTAACTTTCCTTTTTTACGAAGCTTAGCCAAAACAGCTCGAGGCCCATAAAAGTGTCTGTCTGTCCATATATAATTCACCCTGGATAGAGAATGGATGTGCATAATTCCCAGAGGATGTAACTGCTAGTTTTGCAATTTTTCATACACCATTTTTTGGAATTTTGATCTTGGGATTTGTGAGCCAACAACTGATCTGACATTTGATCAGATATTCTGAGCGGCGGCATTTGGTCGATGTAACTGAGATCTTCAACCAGCTTCCCTGGGAGAAGAAGCGAAGATTGTACAAGCTTGGATACCTCGTGATAATTCTAGCCTTGTCAATATTCTGGTATGTATTCTCAGATGTCTTCTATAATCGATGTTTTATCCTGTTGAAATATTTGATCCAATTCTTAAATGGATGGTGCCTATTGTATGTCATTTTAGGATGATTTGGAGCATCGTGGATGAATGAGCAATCTGGATTTGGTGCCCTGACTGTTCTAGATTTGTAAGTTTCATTTTAGTCCTTATTTCTACAGGCCTTTTGGATTCATATAAAGAGGATTTTCTTTCTTAATTGACGCATGAAAGGCTGAAGTCATTATTCATACTTGAATAAGGTACAGTGCTAAACGTTATACACCTGCATTTACAATTCATTTCTGCCAAATATCTCCGCCTCTCCGGTAACCAAAATTTGTGATTATTGGTTTCCATCTTAAATTAATGACAGAAGCATCGTACAGAGTGCCAAATGAGGGTCAAAATGTGTAGTGGAAACAGAGAGAGAGTATTT